GTGGGGGCGGTAACCTAGGCATTTTGATGAAGGGGGGGCCTGAGGCTTCGCAAGTTCGCATACGGTACTCCATTGACTGTGAGTACGGTATTATTGCAACATGCCGCAGGTCCATACCTGCGTTGTACCGTTCGTTCAAACGTCATGCGCCCGGGTTTGCTAAAAGCTAGGCCGGCCGGTGGGGTGAAATGGCCGGGGCCTCTAGCTTGCCGGGGGGCAGCCCCGGACCGGGTAGTTATTCGAACGTTGTAGCCAGGCCGGTGGGTGGAAATTACACATGCAGGACATGTACCGTACCGGACCCGGTTGGCAGCTTCCGGCAGTGCTTCTGGGTGAGCGGGGTCAAGGAGAATCAGTATTATTTGGGGACAGGGGCAAGCAATTCTGCGGTAACCCTGGGGTTACGTAAGTCAAGGATAGGTACTGTTGTGAATTGTGAACGGCGAGTGTTCAGTGGGGGGTGGGGTTCGAGGCCTGCCCGCCGTGCCCGGCCCTGATCTGAAAAAGTGTACGGGGCGCGCCCCGCCCGCATCGAAAGATATACCTACCCCGGTCCCCGCTGCCACCTCAACAATGGATCGCGGCGCCCCGGCTAGGAACTTAGTAAGGGCTATCAAGGTACCGACGGTACGGTATGACGGTATACGATGTAGGTAGGTACATCATAACCCCACCTCCCAGGGGCCAGGAGTCTCGTGACTCGTGGGTACCTAAGACCGGTAGACCGTAGGCCACATGCGTACTAGGTCGGTACTAGGTACCCAGGTACTTCCACAAGTACAAGCAGGCCGCATGCGCCAAGTTGTGGCGCAGTAGCTTCCAAAGAATCTTAACGGCTTTTGCCATCCCTGTGGATCCAATCAGAACGCCCAGTTTAGATCCGGCCCCACCTGCATTTGGATCTTGAGTCTTGACGTCATAATGAATCAGCCTCTGGGGAGCCGGCGGGGCGGCCCTCGCCGCGGGCTTCCGAGCAGCCTGCAAGCCTGAGGGCCGCCGCTCCCTGAGGGCAGTCGCAACGGTGTATGGTCATATTCGCACCTGAACGATTTCAACTTTTCCTGTGGATCTTTTCTTGCCGCTTTTCTTGTGACTACGGCCAGAAAAGGGAAGAAAAGACCGGTTATTCGCATCGGGCTAGCTGTATTCTGCTCAAGTGTGTTCTGCCCGGCCCGACAGCCGTGATCTGACGGCTAGAAATGGCTTTGATTTTCGCACCGGACGGCGTCGATGAATGCGAAGTCGACCATACGGGGGTGGGTGGGTGGGGGGTGGATAGCATATAAGCAATATATCGCACAAGGACCGGCAAGAAAAGCCGCCACAAGAAGACAAGAAAAAATTGCCTGTCAGTTTTCTATGTCCAATTTTCTTGCTGTCGAGACTGGAAATGGACAGAATCGGCGAAAACTCGCAAGAAACTCGCGAGAAAAGAACAGATCGGCCGGAAAATGTTAGGTGCGAATACCCTCATCGATATAGAACCCTTTTGGTAGAGTCGAGAAGTCGAGCATAGACCAAGATGCAGAGCTCTCGGTCTAAGAAAAACACACACTTCATGCATACATGTATGCCATGAGAAGCCTATGGCCTATTTGGCTACGGCGAGTACGAAAAGAGACCATCACTGCCATCAGCGTATCCATTGAACTGAGTTGGCTTGGGGGCCTACCTATCCTATATATCCTAGTACCATACCGACTTACGGTCAGAAGTTAGAACGGGCCTATGGCAGGCCTATAGCAACTCCATCACGTTGTTTCCCAACACGACTCCGCGATAACTCTCGTGTGACCTAAGAGCCGTGTGACCTATTAAGATAGGCACCCGGGGGACGGGTGGAGTTTCGGAGTTGGTATGGTGGTTAGGGTGGGTTGGGATCGGAGCGGGTGATTACCTATTTGCGTTATCTGGGATTAGGGTTTTTTAGTTCTTCGAGTTGCCCGGGGTTTCTGAGGGTTTGGAGCCAAGCCCCTTAGGAGACTGGGAGTTGCTAGTACCCCTCTAGTAAGGCTGCAGAAATGTTTTTACAAGCTGTTTTGTCCACGTTTTGTCTTGTTTTGTATATTATCATCTGGCATCGCGACGTGCGAGTCGCGTGCATGATGAGAAGCCTGTGGCCTACCTATTTGGCTAGAGTTTGGCTACGACTCTACGACGTATTTGAAAGGAGACCATCGTCTAAGGTAATGATTGATAGCTTGCGACTACGCTAGTCTTGCAACAATGCATAGTACGGTATACCAGCCTCATCACAGCATGGGTCCTATCTTTTGTCACGCTGTCAATCCTGATCACCGGCCTAGGGGCTAGCCTATAGAGCGCATGTTTTAAGGTAGCCATGGTCGTGGGCGTACCCGGCTATTACTGGTTAAGTTCCTAGTCACACATATTATATACATGCACACACACCGCACACACACACCCACACAAGTGATGATCGAGACCCGCTCACCAGCAAGAAGGTCGAGGAAGAATGATACCTTGAGATCATACAATAGACACGGTCGAGGACGACCGATGTACTCAATGATATCATACGGTAGACCGTTTCACCGAAGAGAGCTGTTAATTTGTGGTACCGTTGGGAGGTAGAGGAAAGGAATTAGACGTTAGGGAAACATATTCACGGTAAGAGTTGGATTCACGCAATCCAGATTCACCTCCGAAGCTAGCGCTACATATAAGCGTGCCACAATGATGGTAACTTCCAATTTATTAACGCCCTTAGCCGCCATGGCCGTGGAGCACGGTCTCCGGCGCGGCCGGGAATTTGTTTTTTGACTCCGCAACTTGCTACGGCTACGAGTCATGTCCAGCAAGATATGCAAACCCTTATGCTACATGGACGCTAACAAGCAATTCAAGTAGCATGCATGGTGTGCCACTCGAACATGGCGTTGTGCGGAGCATGTAATGTTTGTTAGTATGCAACGGACTCGAGTGAGACTATGAGCCTATGGTACTCGGACGTCCGAATCACTACATCCGAGTTGGCCCGATACATCGGAGCGCTTCGACTAGGTGACTACTCCTTGTCCTTGCCCTTGCGGAAGCGGTTGTGGATGATCATTGGATGCAATCGATCTACTGCTGGAGCAATGTAACCGACCGCATATTGGGTACATAACCCGCATGTACAACTAGTTCATGCCTGCCCTAGACAGACGGTATCCACCTTGTGAATATCGAAGAGATATCACTTGACAAAATGCACATAAATACCGTTTAAAGGAGCACAGCACTGGACACGGCGTATGAGGAGCGCCTCAATCGATCATACGAAGTCACGTCAATTGATCGAACGGAGTCATATCAATCAACAATCCATTGAGCACAGGCGTACAATCTAAGGCGCACATTATACGAATGGCAGAGCCGGAAGCATTCTCACCATTTGCGGTCCCCAAGATAGCAAGAATGATTCTGTCTGAAGAACAAGTCAGACACTTGTTCCGTCTTCCATGCTTCATTACGAAATAGCTCTCAGATGAAGGGCATGGTGATTACCATATACCATGAGAATCATGAATAATCCACATGCCAAGAAGCAGAAATGGACGCTAATATGTTACCTCAAAGCGGCATCCAATTCAATGAAAGGTCCTGCTAACTGACTACGTACACTGTAGTTAGTTTTGAGTCCTTTCCTTCTGCTATTTGTTTAACTTGCAAACCTAAGCTCTACTTTGGCTAAGTCCCGAGAAACGTGTTCTGTGACTCCCACAAGCTTTGCCCAGCAGAGCTACCGCAGACAGAGGTTTGCTTAAGATTAGGCATGTGACACGCAGAATGGGTTGCAACAGCAGCTGCAAAGCCTTCGTCTCACTGCAAGGTTAAAACCAACGAAACCACTGCACAACCTAGCACGTCATTTCTTCTGAGCCGAGCTGAGGATCTTCTTCATACCTGAAAAGAGGAGCAGGAGGTTGATGAGTCCGGAAGCCTTCAAGTTGATTGCAGTCAGAATGCACCCAGGCGAAATGGTATCCAACTGCAGAGCGGTAGCTCTGCTGGGCCAGGCGACGGAGAGACTTGTTAGTGCGTTTGCTGTTTCTGAGCTCTTTTAATTGTTGCTCTATAGTTGGGCTAAGTTCTCCAAATGACAATTGTTCAAATGTCTTCAGCTCAAGTGCTACAGTGCCCGCACTGAGCTGACCGGGCAGAGTGCCAGAGCCGTGAAGTCATCTAGTCAGTCAAACCAGCCAGTTCATTTAGTGTCACTCCATGATCAGTGCAGACTCAAATCGTGCACGGGAAGCAAAGTAGGAAGATTCGAGGAGCCTGCGCAGGGTTTAAGGCCGGCGCATTCTGCGCGCCGGGGTTCAATGCGCAGCTGTGCAGCTGTGCGTCATCAGAGGCGACGACGTTCTCGGCCGCGCTCATCTGAGGCGGCAGCGGTCGGAGCTGCCGCCGTCGACATACTTATAAGTTCAATAATGCACAGAGCAGAGAACGAGCCTTGAAAGACAATTGTTGCATAATGCAACCTTAACAGAAAGTGAGCTGCGTCAATTCCGGGAGCAAGAATTTGAATCAGAGACTGTGTCGACACGACGGCGCCGTCGCGACACGCGTCGGACTCAAGCGAGAACTCGGAAACTGAAAATGCTCGCGCACAGAGTACAATGGCCGTACGATGAAAATGCGACGGTCAAAAATGTTCGATGAACTCTCGAACCTTCAAACCCTAGCACTGTCTGCGGCCGCCGTTGATCGCCGCTGGCAGCTAGCTTATACTATAATTGTAACTAAGCTCGGTTTACTGGCACCGCAAAGTCTGACAATCAATCAGACAAGGGGTCTTCATACTTTGCATCGTTCAGTGTTAATAAAAATATCGAGCACGGCGTATCAGGAGCGCCGCAATTGAGTAGGTACTTGCATCTTATTTCGAGTACGAGAAATGGATCTCAACTTGAAGCTCCATTCACCAAGCTGTTGGTGGTCATTCAATTGTACCAAGTGCACGCTTCTGTATTAGAATCTTAACGCGATTCAGTGATTGACGATAGCTGCTGAAACACGAATGCGTTGACCACGACGTAACGAACGTCGCCTCCCTGATATCTTCCAAATTAGATAAGCCCTACACATCTAACATCTCTAGCCGCATCTGCGGCCCCAGTCGTTGTATCAATTCCTTGCGGGGGCCGACCTGCACGCACCCTCGGTGGTCAGCACACAGACTTCCCTTCAAGTAGTCGGGCAATCAGCATCGATATCGTCACTGCTCGACCCTCACATCCGAGCTGCTGGCATGGTAGCCCTGCTGCTTGCCGCTCCCTGCTCACATCTGCACCAAGGGCCGGCAGTGCCGCGCGGCATGTGCTCTGTGTGGGCTGTGCTGCGGCTCACCTTGTCGCCCATGAGCAGGCTGAACATGATGTTGGCCTCCGCGGCCTCGTCCACGGTCAGCCGCTTCAGCATGCGCTGCGCAGGGTCCAGCGTCGTGTCCCACAGCTGCGCCGGCATCATCTCGCCCAGCCCTGCAAGCACAGCCCGTCCGTCAGCCCGCGCCAAGGGAACACCCTGGGGGCACACGGCACTCCACCCCAGCAACCGGCCGAGCATTCACGAGGCGCTTGCCCCGCCTGTTGCCACAACGTCGAGAACGGCCCGTGCTCCGGCTGCCACCACGCGAGGGCCGTGTGCGGCTCACCCTTGAAGCGCTGAATGGTGGCCTGCGGCCCACCCTGCGGCAAGCGCGCCAGGTGGCGCTGCAGCTCCACCTCCGTGTAGCAGTAGTGCACCGCCCGCCCGCGCTCCACCTGCACATCAGCCCCGCACCCGCTTAGCCCCGGGCCCTCTGCAGCCATGTCCCGTGCATCGGCTGGGCTGGCCCCCGAAGGGCGGCCCCTGGCGGGCTGGCCGTGCGAGAGGCGAGGGCCCGCACCTTATACAGCGGGGGCACGCCCACGTACACGTGGCCCTGCTCGAAGAGCGCGCGCTGGTAGCGGAAGAGGAAGGTCAGCAGCAGCGTGCGGATGTGCGCGCCGTCCACGTCAGCGTCCGTCAGCAGGATGATGCGGTGGTACCGCAGCGCCGCTACGTCAAACTCCTCACCCTGCACCCCCCCAACGCACCATCAGCGTGGAGAGCAGCCAGAGCCCCGCCGATTTATCAGGGGATTGAGCCGTAGCAGATAGATAGAGCCCTTCGGGTTCATGAGAAGCACGGAGTCCCGGGTGCTCTGCGGATTAAAAGCAGCTGGCGCGAGGGCCGGTCCAGGGGAGGGCGGTGCTTCGGGCTCACCTTGATGCCGAGGCCGAGTGCGAGGATCATGTTTTGGATCTCGGTGTTCTTGTAGATGCTGGCGTCGTCCTTGCGCTCCACGTTCAGGATCTTGCCCCGCAGCGGCAGCACGGCCTGGAAGCGCCGGTCGCGGCCCTGCTTCGCGCTGCCGCCCGCGCTGTCGCCCTCCACGATGAAGATCTCCGACTGCGTGGGGTCCCCGTTGGAGCAGTCCGCCAGCTTGCCCGGCAGCGTGGACCGCGTCAGCACGTTCTTGCGCCGCACCAGCTCGCGCGCCTTCTTGGCCGCCTCCGCAGCCTGCGCACGATCCGGCGCGGGTCAACGCTAGGCGCCGGACTGCCCCGCGATGCCAGCGCCAGCGAAAAGAAGGGCGCATTCGTTGTCGCATTCGTTGTCGCATTCGTTGAAGCCAACGAGAAAGCCGGTCCTGGATGCGCGCCAAGGACCGGCTTTCTCGTTGGCTTCGAACGAATCGCGACACGCTCATTCAAACGAAAGACTGACGGCACGCGAAGGGGCAGCCCGGGAGCATGTGCGT